CAAAATATAATAAATCCCTTTCTAATTTTTGTTCCAATAACATGCATGCTCCTTTTATCCTGCCAGTATTTGACGCTGTAGTATCAAATCCAATTGCTTGGACATTTTTTATTAAGTTCCAACTTTCCAACGTATCATATACAGCTGATGCCATTTCAAGTCCGGTAGCAGCAGGTATTTCTGGAACACCTAAAAGTTGTTCAGTACCAGCACCTGTAGCAATTACAGCCAATCTTTCGACTGATTTGCCACTTATATCATGTAGTAATTTAGTGTCCCAATGGATTGTTACTATTTTGTCATTAAGCTGAGAAAATTTTTCTTTAATTCTTATGTAATTTTTTTTTCGAAATTGTTCCCGTTGTTTTGAAATTGATGTCCGATTTAAAACATAAGACGATGGATCTAGAGATACAGCATCCAAAAAAGCCATAATTAAATGTATACAATCTCGCCCACTAACGTTACATCTATCTAAAGCTGCAGATAGTCGAGAGGTTAATAATTCTTTGCGGGGCCTTTTTGTGAGATTTTCATAGATTTTTATTTCTTGTTCTTGAACTATTTCTTCTTCGATGCAATCAATTTGCGAATCAGATGAACAATTCTCAGAATCGGCAACATCAAACTCCGCTAAAATATTACAATACAATAGTATAATAATTTTTGTCCTTTTATAAAAGCTTATATTTTTATTAATATGACTTAAATATAAAATTTGTAAGTCAAGAACTGTAATCGATTGGATAAAATGATACATCATACCCTCACTGTTCACGGTTCAATACTCTTAAAAATAAATGGTTTTTTTTTAATATTAATACTTTTGATGGCCATACCTGAAGTAGAAGGAATGCCAATATCTGCAGATTTGCGTTTTCTTTCGTTTTCTTTTTCTATCCTTAGCTGTCGTGTTTTTTCCAATAGTTCTTCTTTTTTATCAATACCTACCATACAGCCTGTTCGTCCTTTTTCGCGCTGTTTGATTAAAAATTGCTTATCCTCATCGTACTTAATAAGTATTAATGCATCTCTATGTGCTATATCGAACAAATCATTTAAAGAATCGCTAAATTCAGTTCGCTGTTTATTCAAACTTTCACTTGTTCTATTAATAGTTTTGGAGAGTGATTGCCACACTTCATAAAGTTTTTGTAGTTTTAATTTACATTTATGTAGTTCTTGTGTAGGAATTTTTGCTTTTTTCCAGTATATAACACATTCTTCAATAACCAATGATGCACTGACATTAAAGTTAAGCTTGGCAATTCGCATATTATAAAATAAAACACGTAAACAGTCACCATTTGAAGGTAATTTACTTCCGGTTATTTGGTGTTTAAAAAATCCAACAAGAAAAATTTTTTGGCGAAGTGACGACATACTTAACACAATTAAAAAATTGATACTTATTATAATATAAAAAAAAGACAATCGCTAGTAGAGATAAAAAGTTCAGAAACTACAAAAATATTGTGTTATCACGTCCTATAACTCTGTTAATGATAGTACTTTGTCATTCTAAGATATTTTTTTTTTGTTATTGTACTTAGAAAAATTATCAGTAAACAGGTTTATTAAACGGAATCCAGAAATCATGGCACAGTATGATATAAATAGCACAAAATAGTTCACGTTATAAAAATTAGAACATATCGATAAAATATTTTTATTATATTTATCAATACTTCAAAAACTATCAGTTTTAAGGGAAATTATCTAATAACATTTTTTATTTAAAATATCATTTTAAACAAATTTTATGTTTAAAATTTTTTTTGTAATGCGAAAATTAAACCAGATAATTACAAAAAACCAAATAGTTGGAAGTTTTCATAAATCACGAGTATTGTCGAGTTTTATTATTTTAACCAAAAAGTATTAAATAAACGCGAAATTGTAAGAAGATCTTTTTTATAGAAAATTACAATAGCTAAAATATTATATATTATAATATTTTTCGTAAAACAAAGTCTGTAGTCTAAAAATGTAAAACACTGAAATTTTCCATATTTTTCCAAAACTTTGAGCTTTATGTGCGCCCAGTTAATCAAGTAGTATAAAGCTCAAATTTTTTAGAGATTATCTTTAAACATAAAGGAACAAATTTACGCCCGGCGCTCCTGAAGTTTCGTACAAAAATTTTCCTTCATATGTAAATAGCGGCCACCCTAAGGTGCATAGTGTACGGTCAGCTGATGACGATACGATGACAAATATCGGACCGGTTGACTAGTGGAAGTTATCACATACACAATTATTAAAATACTTTACACCTACTGCACACACATCTAATTGATAATATTTATTAAACAAAAACGTGTATAAATTCTGCAACATTACAAATAGATTAAACTATTGAAAATAGGGTGATCTATTTCAAAGGAATGGTGAAAGAATTTAAATGTCTGCAACATTACACAAGGTAAGCTGTCAGTATAGTTTTTCTAATTACATTATTTTCTATTTTATAAACTATTAAAATATATAAATTGTGTTTATATCAAATAAATTTGACATCCCTAAAGGTTATAAGAGTGATGCTTAGTAATAATTAATTATGCAAAAATATATTATATAGATAGATAACTAAATTAAACCATAAAGTTTTTTAAAACTTTTTGTTTTACAATTTTTGCAAAAATTGTTAAATATTATAGGAAAATTTTAAATGTACTAAAAAATGAAAGAGTTGTCAGCGTAATATAAGTCATTATTTTGTAAAGCTGAAAGTAAAACATTTTTGTAATGTTTTGAACAATTGTCATTTCCTGAATTATTGTTACTAGACCAGGAAATAAATATTTATAAACATTTTTTGATTGTATTATTAATGTCGTATTCGTAAAATGAAGAATACCAAAATATTTTAGTATATAAGACGAAATGGAATGAATTGTAGGGAGGAGAGAGAGAACCTCGGGAGCACCGAAGATAATCACTTTTCGCGTGATACTTTAATGACGATAAGTTTTATCCTTAAAATTGTATTATTGCACTGTTTGAAGTGTATCTTTGTTTTGTACTTTTTATATTATTTAAATATATCTTTTATAAATATATTTGCGTGATTATTGAACTTTTATTATTATAAGTTAGAAGAAATAAAGTTGTTTCGTATTAAGGTACATCAGTTAGATCTGTAATATTCTGTATATTTAAAAAATTTTTAAATAAGTCTTCTTATGTGTCTCGAAACCAATTTAGTTATTATAATTAGCAACCGATTTTAATTATGCACGTCCATTAGGAGTGATTAATCTTGATCCTCAATGATAATGAGCCTTATTGTCACCGCTAACGATAATATAATTGCCTAATGTTAGGAAAAACTCATTGAATTTATTGAAGTCTTTCGCACACATTTTTTAACTACGAAATTATTATTTTCATAAATGATACAAATATTTTTGGCTTGTAAATGTACTGTTGAATACGTTTCTAACTCATAAATCTTAATGGATTCTTCTATAATAGAGATCATAATACTGTACCACTTCGTGGCTTACTGCTCAAGTATATTCTTATGTTATACTATTATTATCATGGAAATTCTTAGAGAATTTCCAAAATAAGAACAAATATGTCAATGCTCTAATAAAGCTCATTAATTCTTATTCAATGCTTTAAAGCTCTTCAATTTATTGTTTTCGCTATTTGTGTCTGTTGACGTTTTAAGCTACGATTCATTTATTCTTTTTATAAAAATTGTTATTATTTTTAAACATACATTGGTTACTTTCTAACTTACCAAGTTCACTCGTAAGATATTTTTATATACCTAAGAGCTGATAAAATAACAAGTAAAGTGGATTTATCATTTTTATTCAACTATTATTAATACTATTATCTTCATTTGAACTACTACAGTACAGAAATTTAAAATATACTATAGCATACACTAAGTGATTTCATATGAAATAACCCATAGTAATGGTATTGAAAAATATTTAAAAAAATTAAATTTTTTGGTTTTTTTTTGTAATTATAGATACAATAACCTATTATAATTAATAATAGAGTTGCGATTCATTCGTTAAACAAACAACATATATATTCCGCTATTAAGTGCCGAATATTGTATAAAAATTATTATGTAATGAAATTATAATTGAAAATTATAATATTCAAAAACCCATTAATTTGTAAAAAAATATTGAGGTAAATGTCATATTTATATTTATTTTTATTAAAATAACTATTAATGCGTAATCCACAAATAGTACAACCGCACAAATGTACGCGATTATATATATATATAGATATATATATATATAATGAGTAATAGTTAAATCTTAATTAATATACTTCAATTTAGATTACTATCGTCAGCGAGTTATTGCGTAATCCACAAAATGGTACAACCGCACTAGTGTACACGATTATATATATATATATAAAACGATTAGTAGTTAAATATAACTTAATATATTCCAATTAAAAGAACACAGAGGATCCCTGAAAAACAAAACCAAAATAAGAACGACCAGTTGAGGTGTACGTCGAAAACAAAAAAAAAAGACACAGCACCAAAAATAACCCACCAGTCGAGGTGTACGTCGAAAACGGAACAGACCGCAATATCGGTAATCCATATTCGGCGGTGGCCTTATCTCAGTGTCAAGGGCGGGGTGACGACCGATGACAACCGATTGTCATATTAATAGCTGGACGGCTGATATCGAGAGAGACACGGGTGAGCGCCAGCCTAGAGCAAAAGGCGGTGCCGTGTCAATATTGAAATCTCTGATACACTTTATTTAGGAAATAAACAAAATTTCATTTTTTATTTTTCGTCATTTCATAGTGTAACGTTAGATAAATGAGTTTTTTTTATATATGTATACAAATTATTATTTATTTAATTTTTGTATTCTACTAATACATATACTTCTTTTCTCATTCTGCCCACAAGTACACAAAATAAAATACATGATTTTTCCATTTACAATGTCATTGATCAATTAGTTAATATTAAAATGATATAAAAACGGCTATACCTTCATATTTAGAGCTATCCATGTAAATCATTATACCATCACCATGTCTTTTTCCCTTTTTATAAAATCCTTTATACATTGCTCCATCACGAAATTTATAAATCCCATAACCATGTCTTAGGCCATTTTCATAATGTCCTTCATAATTGTCCCCATTTGGTAGTAAAGCTTTGCCATAACCATGTCTTTCATTGTTATTATTTCTATCGCCATTGTAAATCTTAAAAATTGTTTTAATTTAAAAAAGAAAATATTTTAAGTTTAACATCACAATTATCAATTTCTTAAAAAATTATTTAATTAATTTTACTCTATTTATATTTGGTCGGCCTGACCTATTGGTAGTAAACTATGAATTCGATTCCCAGAAAGTCAAAGAGATTTAAATCATGATTTTCTCATTGATGGTGTCTTGTCTATAGTGACATAATACCCTTGTCCATTATTAGCTTACCCAACAATCATCTTTGACTCCCTAACATGTGGATAAGGGCCACCACCACCCTCTGTAGCATGTTAAGTTGCGGAAATAGATGGATGTAAAACTGATCATTATGATTCAATTATAATTATTTTTATCTTTAATTTATGAGAAGACAAGTTAACAGTTAATTAAAAAACACTGCTGTGCATAAAGGTGTTCTAAAACACAGTGTTTTATAACTTAGTTATGGAAGATTTGGCTTTCTATTGAATTGGATTATTACAAACATTTTAATAATTAATTTCTCTGGACTTGTATTATATATGTGGCGGTCGAATGTTCTAGAGAGTTCCGCCGCCGCCTCTAGAAGATTCCTCTGACTATTTAAGGGCAAGATCGTCGCTCCAGTCAATCACTTATGCACTCTGTCTTAAACGCGCTTCGTCTCTCGCTGTTATTTGTTAGTTCGTTGTAATATAGTATAGTTGTTATTAAAGCGTAAAAGTGTTTATTACTTCTATATATATTACACCTCGCTACATATCCCTAAATAAACATTGTTTGAAAAGTTTAAAAATAAAGGTTATTTAATTATTGTTTTGACACGGTACCGTGTTTCCCTCAGCCGCACATCACGTTATCAACCAAAATGAAAGTGTATCGGGATCTGAATCATAAGTGCACAGTGGCCTAGTGGTAAGGTTTGTCTATACGACGCCTTGGGTCGCGGGTTTTAATCCCGTACTGTGCCTCTTTTTTTCACATGATTTCCGGTACACTTTCTATAACCGGCCGTCAATCCCCAGCGGCCGTATTAGTTTCAAATATTTGAAAGTTTCAAAATATTTATTTAGACTCATTAAAAATTATAATTTATTTTGTAATTTAAAAAGAACTTTTTTTGAAGATTAGGAAAATTACGCCTATTTTTGAAATTCCAGAGTATGATCGCTCATGTGTATCTGTTTCTATTTCGTATTCATCTTCATTGTAATTTTCGCTATAAGTATCGTCCAATTCTTCCTCAGACATTTTTATTAATTACTGCGTAACAAGCCATATAACATTTAAAAATACATCTATTCAGTTATAGTAATATAACAGATATAAAAGTACGTAAAATTGAATGTTAATGTTAAGTATAATATTTAACCGTTACTAAGAAATTGAAAAAAAACTATGAAACACTATTAAAATATTTTTGACATTTTTTTTTATTAGGAAACAATATTATATAATAAAACATAAAAATTTCCAATTAAGTTAGTATTACCTAAAGTTTTCATATTTGTTTTTAAAAGAAAGAGCTCGGCAATAATAATACAGACTATATGAGTAGGATAAAAAAGGGATAGCTGGAACCCCACACCTCACCATCACACAGCGGTAACGGTCATGATCAGAGGCGGAAAGAGGCTAAGTCTGGGATAATGGTGGTGGTAAATGGCGTGGCTTAGAGGGCCATTCAAAATTGCTAAGCTGTTCTCCTCCTATAGAACCCTTTACTCGATGATTAATTAACGAAAACCCCATTTAAACTGATCTATAGTCTAGTGTAGAGTAATGTAACCCTACGTCTACATATCTGTAGAGGAGTAATAAGGCTATGATGAAGGTATGATGGAGAACCGTACCTCCGATTAGTGACAAAGGTAAATAGGGAGATTGTAGTATAATAACTGAGTTATTACACGTCGTAATAACGCGCGTGTGCTTGACTATCCTAGAACAACTCAACAATCTTGTTAACAAACTGTATGATATTATCGTAATTTATTGTAATAGGATTTAGAATTAAGTAATTGTCACCGTAACCGTTATGAAAGTGCTACATATAATCATTGTTACACAACCCTACCGCACCCCATCCCCATCTGGGTAGAGTATAAGAGGTACGTAGGCCAGTCAACAAAGGAAAAATGGCGAAAAAAATTCCCAACCAAATTTTTTTTCTTAAAAAAGTTGAATTAAGATATGTATAATGACATACAAAAGTCCTCATTTATTGGAATTGAGCTTTTTTTTTTTACAGCCTTGCAAAAGTTAAAAAATATGAGCTTTTTTAATTTTCTCAAAAAATATTAAACTTACAAAAAAAAGTTTCGTACAAAAGTTATTTAAAAGACAATTTTAAACAAAAAAGGTCTTTTATTTTTTCATTTAAACAAATATTTTTCGAGTTGCATTACATTTATTATGAGTACTAAAATTTATATTCCATTTTTTCCATTTGTTATATACTCATTCTCTGCTCTACTTTCTTATCAACCGCTCAACACTCTGAACCATACATCATAGCTGGCCTCACTATAGTATTATAGAATTTACCTTTCAGCCTCATTGGATTTCTTTTATCGCATAAGACGCTTCTCTCCACTTTAACCACCCGCACATAATCCTGTGTCTTAAATTCTCGTCAACACCAACGCTCTTTTACACAATTGACCTTAAATACTTAAAACTTAGCATCTCTCCAATGACGCCCTCGCCTATTTTCACTGGTCTCCTTATTTCATCTACATCGTGATCTCCTTTATCAAACTCGTACTCTATATACTCTGTCTTACTCCTACTTATTCTTGACACGGCCACGACGTTGTCACACGTTGACACCCCGCGGTCGTATCAGCTCCTTCTCAGCCACCGCTTCACTGTAAACCGGACCGTTACACACACGCGTTATCGTCGTGGTGTAAAGTCCAACAAATGCCTAGCGTCGAATACCCCGCCGCAATAATACGTGAAGTTAGTTATCTTTGTGACACCACAAATCGTACCGTCGTCCGAATTCCGAACAGCTAGTGATATCCACTTGTTAAAACATCAACCTTTGCTTCATATTGTGAAATCTTTTGTATTAATTTTTTAATTTAATTATTTTTAATTTAATATAATTTAATTAATTTTTAATTTAATTTGTATTTTGGTTTCGTACATCTTTACAATATTATTCTAATAAACGGCTCGACGCCTTTCAAAATAACCTCGAACTGGTGTCGTCTACGTTATTTTAGTTTCGTGTGCACGGCACTTGAGTATATACTCGTATCATTCTTAAACCCTATTTTTCAAGAGCTGATCTCCACATCTCTAGCCTTTGCATTTGAATCGTTACTGATCTGAAAACTATTTTCACAATGCAATTATTTTCGATGGGTGTAAGGAAAGAACCTCTATGCGGTACACCTAGGTAACGATTCAGTGATTCTGTCACTAATCGGCTAATCTTTCCACTACGGGGCTCGGGTCTTATAGACCAAACATGATAAATATCATTTTAAAGTCAATTGACGATAATCTCGATAAATATCTAGGGTTTGACTAGTGACAAGGAAATACTCCTAGCAAATATATGTAAGGAAACACTATGTGATATTATATGTATCCAGGAAACACATAGAGGAATCGACCGGAATAAATCAAAAATCCGAGGGATGAAATTGGTAGCGGAAATACCACATGATAAACACGGAAGTGCTATTTTCATTAAACCTATGTTGGAAATAAAGTCATCAGATGTAACAAATTTTGAAGGAATAGAAATCTAACGATAGAATTAGCTAAGCCAAAACCATCCCACCAAATGTTCAATTTACTTTCCACAATCCTGATAATTTTAACAATTCAAGAACAAAAATAATAATCGGTGATTTCAACAGCCATCACACAGAATGGGGATATGAAAATACAAATGACGATGTAAAACGGTTTGAACAATGGGCAGATGGAAACCAATTATCGATCATACACGATTCCAAGCTACCTCCATCGTTTAGTAGTGCAAGGTGGAAAAGGGGGTATAACCCAGATTTATGCCCAGAAGACAGTGTGCTGACCCCAATCCTTTTTAATATTGTAATGTTGCAGAATTTATACAAGTTTTTTTTAATATATAAATCTTATCAGTTAATAGTGTGTGCATTAGGTATTATGTATGTCCCCAATTATTAAATTAGTTTATATACCAAACAACCGATCCAATGGTCAGTACCCGGTTTGTTGTGACAGTTGACCGCACACAGTGCATCCCTACACCTTTGTATTTTCCCTATGAACCAGTTCAAAGTTGGCACCCCCACCACCCGGCGACATCATGATCACCGGCCACTATTCAAATGCCGCAACAATGATTTTTTTTTTCCACCTATACTGCCGAGGCGACAAGTTGTCCGTTGGTCTTTTTTCTGAAAACCACGTTTTTGTATTTTTTTTGTCCTCCGTTTTTTTTATTAAAATAAACGTCGAGTCGACCTGCCGTCTACTGTGGTGTCAACCAGGTTGTATTTTTTTTTGTCCTCCGTTTTTTTTATTTTAAACAAAACGTCGAGATGATGATGTGAAGCGCAACTATGGCCGGTGGTGGGCCATCACTTCTCAAAACTATCAACAACAAGTACAACATCAATAAAACCCCCTTTTACCCCCTTTTTAATTTGTGTATCAAGCACCTCCTTTTCTTTTTTCTTTCTTCTTTTATATGAATATATTTATATCTTTAATAGTAATTATAAATTTTTTAATTAAATAATTAAAAAAAATGTTGTTATATTATACATGGCCTTTCTCTTTTATTAATATTTGTTTTTCTCAAAACCTAGTATCTCCGTCGACANATATTTGTTTTTATCAAAACCTAGTAGCTCCGTCGACAAGTACTATCTTGTTTGGCGCGGCTACTAGGTCACTGTCCAGTGTTCCCCCTGGGCAGTGGGTAATTAGTAGGCCCTCTGTTTGGCTGAAACCTTACAATATCTATACGAACGATCAACCGATCACTCCAGGAGCAAGACAATTCATCTACGCCGACGATACAGCAGTTCAAGATAACACAACTTTGAAGGAGTAGAAGCTAAACTAGAGGCCACACTTAAAACCATGACAACATACTACAAAAACATGAAACTAAAACCTAACCTAAGGAAGACTCAAATATGTACGTTCCATCTGATAAACAGATTAGCGTCTAGAAAGCTGGACATCACCTGAGGAGTTAAGTTAGAACATACACTTAATCCTAAATATTTAGGCGTTACCCTTAATAGATCACTTCCTTTTAAAGAACATTGTGTTCCCTTAAAAAGGAAAATATGTGCTAGAAACACTATTGCGAAAACTAGTTAGGTCAAAGTGGGGAGCTCATCCCGAAACAGTCAGAATCTCTGCACTAGCTCTATGTTTCTCGGTAGCTGAATATGCATGCACGGTGTGGGGAAGATCAACACACACTAAACAAATTGATAGTGCATTAAATGAAACGGTACACATTATAACAGGCTGCTTAAAGCCAACACCAGTAGACAAACTATATCCTCTAGCAGGAATAGCGCCACCACATATACGCAGACAAATTGCTAGTGACATAGAACGGATGAAACAGATCACGGATGAAAGGCACCCAATGTATAACACACAAGTTGAAGGTTTCCGACTAAAATCAAGAAAAAGCTTCCTTAAATGCACGAAGAAAGTAGAAGGTAACCCACAGACAGCAAGATTAAAGCTATGGGAGGTAGAGAGCAAGCAAAAAGTCGAAGAGAAGTTACCCCTAGGACATAACAATAAGTGGATGGTCTGGAGGACACTAAACCGCTTTCGTACAGGAGTTGGATGTTCGAGGGAAAACCTAAAAAAATGGGGAATAAGCGATGGAAATGAAGACACGAACTGTGTATGCGGAGAATTCCAGACAATGTCGCACCTGCTAAATTGCAACAAGTGTCCAATCAAATGTGACGTAACAGACTTACAAAACGCAAATAACAAGGCTATAAAGTTGGCAGAATTTTGGAGCGACATTTAGAAACACAATTCATACGTTACCTTTTAGTATCATTCATCGTTACTACTATTATTTATTTAGTACATTATATCACATTTTATTTTATTTTATATATACCAGTTGACTTTTTGACTAATTGATATTATATTATGTTCTATTATTTATAGTTTATTTGTAATGATGTTTATACATTTAATTACCTGTAAAATAACCTGTCACCCCGACTCGAAAAAAAAAAATTATTTTTGATGATCCGTAGAAGAACTCATCAGAATAATATTTATGAACAAGCCGCTCAATGATATATCACACTACGATCAAGAAGCCACGTGCTCGTCGGACTCCTCGTCTGTGTGCAAGAGAGCCCTGTACTACATCACATTCTTACGAATCTGAAAGAGGTATTGGATCCTAAATACTTAAAACTTTCAACCTCCCCAATCACTTTCTCGCCTATTGTCACTGATCTCCTCATTTCACCTACCTAATGTTTTTTTTTGTCAACCCAGCTGGAATTTTTGGTAATGATAAAATTAATTGTCATTAAATGTATAAAATTGGTCTTGTTAGAGTTTAAACTCAATGGTGGATAATAACATTCATGATATAAAACTTAAAAAGTCAAATAAAGTTATAATTCTATCTCCAATAACTTCCATTGTTAAAATTAATAATTAAATAATTAAAGTAAAACCATTGCTACTATTTCAACTAATCGCTATAAAAAAAAAAAACCAGCAATATCCCGGTACAGTGGGTATAATTGGTTCAGTATAGATGATACGTGACAGTGACTAAAATCATTATCATAAAAAAACGCCTTGATGCAAATCTGTAGATAGTGTTTGATTTTAAAGTATAAATGGATTATTACAAAAGCTAAATAATCTCCTATTTCCTTATTTATATCCTAATTACAAGTTATATACATTATTAGTGCAAAGTATGTAATCGATAGATTTCTCTTCTATAAAGATATTTGACAAAAGTATCAAACAAAATTTTTTTCCATTTTCTTATTCATTTTCCTATTCTAAATTTTGATAGAATATATCTTCAACAAAAGTATAATCTTCTAAATCGCCAATATTTATTTCTACTGAATTTGTACTCAATTGACCTTTGCAATTTTCACCTTTAATAGATGTTCTATTAAGCCCTGTTTTTCGGTAGCAACAATTTTTACCAGCTCCAGCACCTGACCAAAGGCCAATATGCTTTATGGCAACTATCTTTATCATTACCAGAATTTCCGATGGCAATTGGCATAATATAATTGTTGTTTGGAAATGTACAATTTAGCGTTTAGTTGGGTTTAAACAATATAGCGTCAAATCAATTACCTACTCTATCGGTTGTATCTTAATATACACTACACTTTAAAGATACTATAAATAAATAAATTCACACATGCATTTATAACATTGTGTCTAATGTAAGTATAACATGATAAAAAGTTACCGTAAAATGACAAAATTTGGAAAATAAATTTTAGTACTCATATTAAATGTAATGTAACTCGAAAAATATTTGTTTAAACGAAAAAATATAAAATACTTTTTTTTTAAAAATTGTCTTTTAAACAACTTTTGTACGAAACTTTTTTTTGTAAGTTAAATAGTTTTTGAGAAAATTAAAAAAGCTCATATTTTTGAACTTTTGTAATGCTGTATACATATCTTAATTCAACTTTTTAAAAAAAAAAATTTGGTTGGGAATTTTTTCCGCCATTCGCCAAAATTACTCCTTCGTTGACTGATCTAACATTCATACGTAAACTAACATAATGCAATGGAAGGGATCTCTTCCGTCACCAAGTGTTAAAAAGGGAGAGGGAATGAAACTTTACATAAACTAACCTAATGAAATAGGTGGGGTGAGGACGAAACCCTACGTAAACTAACACAACTTATCGTATACCTATAGATTATAAGTATGTAATAAATAATTTTCTAAGAATTTCATCATTGGTTACCAGGCGCTTAAGTAAGTATACTCTTAACATCATACGATATCACCATACTATAATGCTCATAAGCATTTACATTTATTGAGAATAATGGCAACGCTGTCTATGTATTATTTACATCAAATGTACAGCTATCTTTTTCTAAGAATTTTACAGTAATGATCACTGTATTATGCATTTTATGAGAAATATGACAACGTCTGACGTTTTTCACACCTACGCATTTTATTTTTTACTATATAACCTTATCAACGTTCTGTATCCTGTCACATACGTGTTTATTTGACGTTAACATAAAATTGTCTTTTTGAAAACTAAAATTTATTTTTTTAATAAATTTTAATATTTTCCACGCGCAAATAAAAAATTATGAACTAGTATGTAGATTTTTACAATTATGAACTTTTTTTATTTAAATACATTTATATATCTTTTAAATTTTAAAATAATAAAATAAATCCAATACCGAATTGTATCGTGACAATTTTTATTCTATTTTTTTTTTTATGTTAACTTTTGTGTTTCTTTGAATTGTTTTAGCTTTGATGCGAAGCTAAGAAGGTATTATTTTTACCATTATGTGTTTTTTTTTTTATGTCTGTTGCCAATTTTTCTCAACTCTCACTGGACCGATTTCTTTCAACAATACGTCAAAAGATCACAAATCGTATCTAGTTGAAGACATTACCCTTAAAACTTTAATATTCAGTCAAAAAATCAAAAAATCAAATGATGTTGCCGTCATTATTGGGTGTGTTTATATACCTCCTTCTGTGTCCATTGAGAACTACTCAGAGTATTGAGATTTACTTGAATCTATAGCCTTAAAATTCATTGATGTTAGATAGAAATTATAGACATCTTGATTGTTTGTTTACAAACGGTAATGTTATGTCATACTACCCTAGTGACTCTATAGTTCAAAAGGCTGATGTATACCATCCTTCTTTTGATTAAATTATAAAATTTGATGTATCAAGTGTTATTTATCAGTCCAAAAATCTATCAATCTATAATTTTAACAAATGTAATTATGATGATATTTCAAATTTTCTCTCTGATGCAACTAACGTCGTAAAAATGTAGTCGACACAGTGTTATTTCTCCAGGTGGCACTTAATTAAACGCCGTCAAGCCGTTTAATGAAAGAAAATAGTAATACACAAGAATAATGGACGAACCACAAATAACAATAATACTGATTACTGAATAAATAATACTGAAAAATGATTAGTCGACAGATGTCAGAAATGTTCGACGGATGTGCAATGGCGTTCGGTCGAAACCAACAATTTTGGTGTCACGAAGATGACTGACTACTCGACGTATTATTGCGGCGGATATTCGACACTAGGCATTTATTGAACTTTATACCACGACAACGCGTATGTGTAACGGTCCGGTTTACAGTAGAGCGGTGTCTAAGAAGGAGCTGACACGAGCGCGGGATGTCAAACGAGTGACAACGACGTGGCTGTGGCATCTCTAATATTAACTTCTATCTAAACTTAGAATACATTTCACTAGAAGGCTCAATAATTAAGTTTTATGAAATAATTAATCACTCTTCCTCTATCTTTGTGCCTAAAATTATAATTAGTGAAAATTATTCTACAATATGGATTAATAAAAACCTTAGAAATTTAATTATTAGTAAAAAATATGCTCACAAGAAATATAAGATTAGTGGTTTTTATTCAGATTATTTAGTTTTTTCAGTTCTTCGAAAACAATGTAAGCATTTAATATCTCTAACTCATTCAAAATTTATGTCTAATGGTGACGATAACATTAAAGTAAATATAAAGTTTTTTTGGAAATATATTAACTCTTTAAAAGTGAATAAAAATTCAAATATTCCTGATTTTGTATCTTATAATCAAATTCTATATTCAAACAATGAAGAAAAAATCAGTTTTTTAACAATCATTTTTCTATTGTACACGTTGAACATGTTAATTCATTAAATGTTACAATTTCCTACCATGCATCAAAAAATATTCTT